CGCCAAGCATACATCCTGGATTTTCCAGCACAGTACCGATTTCAAATATTCTGTTCTGTTGTTCACCTAAATCATCAATATATTCTGGAAATTCCATTATTTCAGCAAACAATTCAGCAGAGGGGGAAGCGGGATGCGGGAGAAGGAGAGAAAGCCCCGAGGCTCCCCACCAGCCCCAGCTTGCAGGGAAGAAGCAGAGCTAGAAAGCATACATCCTGGATTTTCCAGCACAGTACCGATTTCAAATATTCTGTTCTGTTGTTCACCTAAATCATCAATATATTCTGGAAATTCCATTATTTCAGCAAACAATTCAGCAGAGGGGGAAGCGGGATGCGGGAGAAGGAGAGAAAGCCCCGAGGCTCCCCACCAGCCCCAGCTTGCAGGGAAGAAGCAGAGCTAGAAGTGTCTGTCGCACTGCCACTCTTCCTCCTCTTTCCTTGGCTGGAAGAACAGCAGTGTAGGGACGTGTTTTCTGGAGGCTTTTCCTGCTGCTCTGGAATCTGGCCAATAGATATAGTAGGAGGCGGTGCCTGGGGAGCTGCATGAAAGCTGCTCATGCCCAGACCCAGCACCCCCGGCCGACTCACTCACCACACTGCTGAGACCCTATACCCACTCACTCACTGCCTCCACTGACACCCCACACCACTAGCCCACTCACCACCAACTCGACCGAGATCCCACACTCCCAGCCAACCCACTCACCACCCTGCCAACACCCCAGACACCCAGCCCGCTCACTCACTGCCTCCACCGAGACCCTGCACCACCAATCCACCTACTCATCACCCTGCTAACACCCCGCATGCCCAGCCTGCTGACTCACCACCCTGTGATTTAATTTTTATACTTTTGTAAGACTTGTCATATAAATAAATTCACAAACCAGAAAAAAATCCTTTTCAGATCATGTGTCCTGATCCTGAGTTCAGAAAATATGGTTACTGTAAGATATATGGGGTGCATGACAACTTACATGTATGGCATTTGTTAGCTTTTTATGTATAGGAATTAGAGGTTTGATTTATAGGCAAGTGACATATACAATACAGTATTTATTGTACAAGACATTTCCTGGAAAAAGCAAAGCATTCTCTCTCTCTGCAGTACAGTACCTCTAGTATAGATATGATGTTCTAGGTTAGTCAGACTGGCTGTACTCCTAGTTCTAAGGTAGACAAGGGGAAGGCCTGGCAGACAGGAAAGACAAAGTTAGCAGGTAAGGATAAATGCAGATATACAGGCAGATGCTTCTGTATTATGCATACAAGAATAAGGAGAGTTACACAGATTGTTGGAATCATGCAATCAGTGAATGGGCACTATTTCGTAGTGCTAAACTAGAATTTGAGAATTTCTATTTCTTCAGTAAAAAAGTTCCAAACACTACAGGGAAGAGAAGGGCAAGTCAGGAACTACCAAATACAATGCTCACTCAGAATTAAGTGGAACTTTCAAAGCAAAACGTTTAGCCAGGTTTATTCTAGTTTCATTCAAAAATGCAGTTGGTTAACTTTAATATTGCCTCGTTGATGTGAGAGATATGGAGTTGAATCAGGGAAAGCTTTAATGTTTATTTCTCAATAAATTTAAAAAAACCAAGACAAATAGATCTGACAATCATACTTTCTCTTTGATGGGGATATTTTATTATTCCTATTCAATGTGTACTGTTAATTAAAACTAATACAGTCAGGCCATGAAAGAAACCTGTAAACCTTGCTCAGATATTAAATTAATTGGCTCTCGATTAAATATGCTACAATACCCAAGCAACTTTTTTTTTTTTTTTTTTTAATTACTAGATCAGGAGATGTATTGTTTTAAAAAGTCATGTTTCTACAAGAGCTCACTATATAGCAGACAAATGGCATTTGTATTTCAAACTAACCATTTGCCTTGACAGTGCTGCAGCTCAAAGAACTGACAATCCAAGGATTTCAGAACTATCTGAAATTCTATGGTCTATTGATGGGGGAAGGGAGGAAGGCGGCAAACTTATCTTCTATACTCTTGAGCAAATGATGGCTCATAGGTGAATTAGGGCAGCCCAGCGTGAGTGGGACAGACCAGTTTTTCTTTTTTACATTGATTCCTGAAATAATCTCAGAATCCCGTGGAAAAGATATAAAATACCAAACAGCTGCTTTTTGTTGTTGTTCTTTTTTCCCCCTATTCTAATGTTTTAGCTGTAAAAGTCAAATGAACACAGTAACTTTGCATCTAAGGAAGAAAGAAATTGGGTTCAAACATTCAAGGTGTAAAGAATTTTTAGTTGGCATACAAGAATTTTAGTTGGCATACAGGTTTGCTGAATGTAGGAGACATTTCTGAAGCTCTCACTGGAAATGTGCAGTCAAGACAAAACACTGAATTCTCCAAAGAAACTAGAAAAATTGCTAAGATCACATTAGGTCATGTGGCAAGTCAGCTGTCCATCAAAAAGTTCTCCAGTTCTCAACAGTGTTAAAGGAAGTAGCTTTGGTACAAAGATGACAAGATCTCATTAACACTACCCCATAGCAAGCCTAAATGGCAATATGAGGCCACGTCTCCACTTACCGGAGGATAGATGCTCTGGTGTTGAATCTTCTATGGTTCAAATTGGCACGTCCAGTAAAGATCTGCTAAATTGAACACTGAGGGCACCTCCGTCAGTGCAGGTACTCCTCACCATTGCAAGGAGTAAGGGAAGTGGATGGGAGCATTTCTCCCATCGATCTCCCACTGTGGAGACAGCGCCAAGCTCAGCTCCATCTACATTATTTCATCGATATAACTGTACTATTTCATTAGCACATCGACTGCAGCTACATTAGTTACATAGCTGGAGCTGCGTACCTTAAGCTAACTTTCCCTCTGCAGTGTAGAGGCCAAAGACACAAAAAAGTCTCAGATTGAATGTACTGCTACCGTTACACTCAGCCTATTTGGTCTTTTATACAATAGTGCTGTAATATAGTTTGCCATTCAGGCTGTGTCTAGACTACATGGCTCCATCGATGGAGCCATGCAGATGAGACAGATAGGCAAAGGCAAATGAAGCCGCGATTTAAATGATCGTGGCTTCATTTAAATTTACATGGCTGCCGCGCTGAGCCGACAAACAGCTGATCAGCTGTTTGTCGGCTCAGCGTGCTAGTCTGGACGCTCCCCTGCCGACATCAAAGCCCTTTGTCGGCAGGGGAGCGTCCAGACTAGCACGCTGAGCCGACAAACAGCTGATCAGCTGTTTGTCGGCTCAGCGTGGCAGCCATGTAAATTTAAATGAAGCCGCGATCATTTAAATCGCGGCTTCATTTGCCTTTGCCTATCTGTCTCATCTGCATGGCTCCATCGATGGAGCCATGCAGATGAGACAGATAGGCAAAGGCAAATGAAGCCGCGATTTAAATGATCGTGGCTTCATTTAAATTTACATGGCTCTGTCGACGGAGCTATGTAGTTTAGACGTACCCTCACTGAAAGCATCTGACGGACATAAGGATGTAAAATTAGCAGTGCATATTCTTAATTCAAAGCCAAGCAGCCTAAAACAGAAAATGCTCCTAAAGGGATTATTGTAGTATAATAGAAACAAATGTATTCTTGCCCTGAATTCCTTAAAATGCATGGTGTGCTCATAAATACCAGACTTTGAACTTGTATCATGAGCAAAATAGTTGCATATGTCAGGACTTCCAGACAAAGAAATACATGATTAACAAATGTCATACTCTGTCCAAAGGATGGTGGGTCCACAGAAGATCCCATCCAGTCTTCTGATTTGACTGTGTCCACTTTCTCCTGTTTACAGTAATCTGCCATCCATGACTTTTTGGTACTAGTGTACTGTTCTAGAGGGATATAAACAAAAAAGATCATAAGAATAAGGATAACTGCTAAATGTCTGTTCAGTAACAGCTGAAGTAAGTACCAGTTACATGAAATGTACGTTAAAGTCATAGGGCTAATATTACTCTTCCATATTGTAGTGGCTAATAATTTATTTCATCAACTAGTTACAATAGGCTACTTTCATTGTTTACTTTCATGCCACAGCTCACAAAAAAATCACAGCAGTCTTCTCCAAACAACTGCCCTCAGCTACATTCTTGTACTGAGCTTATGTACAATATCTTCCTAAGACTGTTGTTGTGACACTTTGATAACATTTCTACCATTTATTGCCTTAAAATGTTCTTGGGGGGGAATGTCACAGTTTCAGAGGAAAATCATCTTATTTACTACAACCATTTCCGGCACAGTTTGTAATGGTTTTGAAAGTACCACATAAGATTATGGCTCTCTTTCATATGATATAAACATTCACAGGGGCGACTCAAAGTAATATTTATAATTATAACAGTCTGCTGTCAATGACAAGTTTTAATAGACTGCCCTGAAAAAAAAAAGTGTGGACTGAGATGATTCCCCCCGCACTAGTCCCCCAAACACTGCCCCCCTTGACTCTGCCAGCACCACTTGGAGCCGGACAATATAAAAAAATACTTGATTCCTTAGGATGGCAATTTAAGACGACAATAATGCTTGGTCCTTATTGCAATCAAGCCTAAATTAAGCCAAATGTCCTTAGCTGGCTCAATAAACTCATGAATGAAAGATGGCTAAATGCAAACATGACATTTTGTTGTTCACAGTTTATTCCTGTGTTGTTGTACCATGGATACCTGTAACCTCAATCAGACCAGCCACCTGTCACGTACTTATGCAAAAAAAGACAAAGGAAAATACTCTGACTAGGAGAACCCATATCTTAAATGTCAGGTGACAGTGAAATGGGGCATTTTAGATTACTCAAGCCAGAAGTCACTCTTAGGTTTTAAAGTGGAATTAAAGATGTAAGAGCTTGATGACTTAGTCTTCCCATAAGAATATCAATACCACCATTACTGGACTAAATGAGGAGTCATCATATATCAGCTTGCTGAAAATTAGTAAGTTTTAAAATAATGTTAAATTCTTTAAATGTGGGAAGTTTTGTGAAAACCTGCTTTATATTAAAAATAAGTTATTGCTAGCAAACTAATTAAAGAGAAATCAGATGACCAAAGTAAGAATACCTTCTATGCTGTAAAATATATCCTTAAAAACTCTTCATACTTTCAACAACTCTAATAAAAATACAGAATATCTGAATCAGCACTTGCCTATAACAATCTGAAGAATCTAAAGAAACTTATGCCAAGGCTTATGACAGAGGATACTGACAGAATTCAGTTAACAATGTCTAATATCAGTACCATGTGCTATCCTGGATAATATTCTATGAATTTTCTCATACGCACCAGTTAATACAGAGGTAATATTGATATCGAGACGATGTTTAGCCTTTGCTTCCACCTTCAGGCGAGAAGGGTGGAGGCGGCTGGATGCCTGTTTTTGCCAGGAGACTGAACAGGGCCATGGCTCAATAAATGGCTCCCAGCCTAAGAGAACATAAAAAATTTGATTAGACAAACATCGAAACATGTCGAAAAACTGCTTACATACATAAGTTTCCAGTAATCTTGGTGAAAAGGCCTCTACTTTCAACCACTGTTCAAGATGGACTTTTATAATTGAACAGTCGAGCAATTTTCCAGGTTGTATGAAGTTATTCAAATAGGAACCATGACAAATATATCCTGAAATTCTTATCTAGTCATCAAGATCTTAGAAGAAACTACAACCTCAAATGAAAACCAATTAGTGGTATGATTGAGTAATATTTATTTGTATAATTAAGCAGAATTTCACAAAATTGCAGAGAATATGGCTGTGAACTGATATCTACTACATAGCATCATGAAACAAGAAGATTTGAAATACATCCCAAACCAGGAAAGAAATTACTCATTCTGTCTAGCCAGCATAGCAAATTACTTCATCATTGACAAATTATTCCTGAAGATGTCTTCATTGTCAACACTTAATTCAATTTTTAATGTAAATTTTAGAAACGTTGTTAACTACCATAAAACTAGTGGTTGATTTATACTCTGACCCAGGAGATTTTTTACACTTTTTAAAAAATCTTATCAAACATAATTACGATGTTCTCACTGTCCACATACAAGGAAAAGAGAATTCGAGGTCTATCAGTTATAAATATGTTGTATTTAAAATTTAATTAAATGCCCTCTTTATGGTTCTCATATTACAAGAAACGTTAGAGTAGGTTGTAACAAGAGAATGAAATATCAGAAAGAAGTATAAAATAACAAGAAATATATATTTTTAGTGTGTGATTAATAATACAAGTAAGGATTTTAAAAATATTTTATTTTAATGTTGACAGTGTATAAATTTATTTTTCATCAAGTGTATTTAAGGAAATCCCTTTGTTCCAGCTGCACACAATTTGCTGACACAGCAGTCCTTCCCACCCCTTACATAAAATTTATATTGAGTGAACTCCAGACAGCTAAAGTATGCAAGACTGCTTTCCAACTCTTATAACAATGTATGCATTTTGTATTTACCCGAAAGCTCACGGTTATAATAATCTCCAGAGAGTGTAAAATGAGCATAGCCTTCAGGGCTGGCTCTCACATGCTGGAGAAAATTCAAACCTGTAACGAAAGTAAACATTGTACTAATAGAAGAAAAATATGATTGGATCCTTAATTTAAAGTTGCATTAATAAACAAACAACGAAGAGTTTTATTAAAAAAAAAAACCCTGAACAATACAAGCAAAACCACCACACTCTACAATATTCTTTAAATCAAAGTAATATACAGGTAATTAAGGTATACAGTATAGCCACACCCCAGAGCTCACATCAGGACTGGGGCCCTATTATCCTATGTGCTGTAAAAACCCAAGTGGACACAGCCTCAGCCCCAGACAGCTTGTAATCTGCTTCTGAAACCACCACCTCCCATCCCAGAAATAGCAGGAAATGCTCATGATTGTGATAAGTTTCTCAGGCCATGTTTATATTTACTCACAATCAATGCTCCAGAGGTCGATCTTCTGGCGTTCGATTTAGCGTGCCTAGCAAGGACCCACTAAACTGAACGCTGAGGGTGCACCCGTCAATGTTGGTACTCCTACTCCCCACAAGGAGTAAAGGAAGTCGATGGGAGCATTTCTCCCATCAACCCTTCCTCCCCGTCACCAGTATCTGAATTGAAGTAAGTCCACTCCAACTATGCAATTAACATTACTAGTCTCAGCTATACTTTATTCTAATAGCAGCCTTATCAATCGGATGTCATTAAGAGTCCACAATTTTCACAGAATAATCTGATGTAAAAAAATTTGCCAAACAAAACAAAAAAGTGACAAGGATCACTTCTCTACATATACAGCAAAAGGCATAAAAAAAATTCCAGTATATAGTCACACAAGTTCTGAATCGGTGCCAAACAGCACAGCTAAGTGTCAGGACTTAAACAGTAGTCCTAAAATTCTGTACCTTGAAAACTAACAAGACTGGAATAAATCTTAGCTTGAAAAAAATATTTACATCTGATTACCATCTTTTTGCAATAAAAACTCAACACCATTGCTAAATACGATCCACAAGTAGTTAAAATACAAGAATTAAAGTGGTGTAAAACATTCATCTCAGTCTTTTGCATCCTATGAAATAGTTGGTGCTGGAATCCTGTTATAGTTGAAGTGGAGGGGGACGCAGGGAAACAGACGTCAGCAGGATAGAATTTCAAGGTCCAATACCTCAAACTGCAAAAGCTAGTAAGAAACATTTCAAGAGATCAGCACAAATACTACCAGGACCAATAAACTTTCCAAGCTTTGTCCTGGACAATGGTCAGAAAGAAAGTAAATGTCATGAGTCCTGCGAGGTAATCTGTCAAAGATATAGTTATAGGTATCTTTAATGTAGGAAATGTTCCTTTCTTTTGCTCTGTGTGATATCTATGCATAAAATACTTGGGCTACGTCTAGACTGGCATGATTTTCCACAAAAGCTTTTAGTGGAAAAGTTTTTCTGTTAAAAGCATTTGCGGAAAAGAGCCTCTAGATTGGCACGGACGCTTTTCCGCAAAAGCACTTTTTGCGCAAAAGCATCCGTGCCAATCTAGGTGTGGTTTTGCGCAAGAAAGCCCCTATCGCCATTTTGGCGATCGGGGCTTTTTTGTGCAAAACAATACCGTGTTGTCTACACTGGCCCTCTTGGCTTTTGCCCAAACGGGAGCAGCATAGCATTTCCATAAGAACACTGACAATCTTACATGAGATCGTCAGTGTTCTTGCGGAAATTCAAGCGGCCAGTGTAGACAGCTGGCAAGGTTTTCTGCAAAAGCAGGTGCTTTTGCGGAAAAACTTGTCAGTCTAGACACAGCCTTGGAGTCAAATTTGCTTGAGGTCAAGATAGACAGTTATTTAGCTTCCTTCCTTAATAAAAAGGCATAATTATCTACTCCTTAATGAAACATTGCCTCCCACAACCTTCAGTCAGATTTTATAGCCCAGGTTACACTATTAAATTTCATACTGAAACCATTTTGATTACTTTTCTTTTTCAACAGTAGTCTCTCTCTAGTTAAAAAAAAAAATCTATTCTATCTCAAAGGAAGCATTTTGAAATCAGAAGTCATTGACTAACATCAGAAGGGAACAATGGGTTATCTAATGTGATCTGTCTATCACAGAATGCCACCTCTGCTGAAGCACCCAGACATTAAACCTAACCACTGAAATTAGACCAAAGCATTGCAACCAACATAAGACTAGACTATGATATGCACTGGGCACAGAATAGGACAGACCAAAGGACAACAGTGACTGAGGCCTCAGATTTTACACACCCACCCACACACACACACACCCACCCCCCCACACCCTCACCCGGGAAATTTTTCCTAATCCCACATATGGCAATCAGTTACATTTTAAGAATGAAGAAAAACCAGCCAGCTAAGAACCTGCAAGACAAAATGTTCAATGCCATCCCAGAGCCCTGGTCCACCCCATTCATTAGGACAGAGATTTACAAAAAAGCAGTACATATTGGGGAAAAGAAGACAAAGGGAATTTCTTCCTGACACCTGCAGGTGGCCATCTGTAACCCTGAAGCATTAGCGTTTCAGAACATGTGATGAACTGGATGTGAGCGCCAGGCCTGCTAAAGTCCTTGCCGCTACCCTCACAAGCACCTCTCTCATACAATCCTACTTACATTTATCCAGCTCTTTCTTAAAGCAAATTAAGTTGATTGCCAGCACACAACTCATGTTGTCCTTGATTTATTCATGACTAGTTTATCCATTTGTTCTTGTGCCAATACTGTCCTTCAGTTTATACAGTTCTTCACAATTCCATGTACTTCCAGAGAACAACAACATCCCCTCTCAGCTTTCTTTCTGCAAGGCTAATCGAGAGGGCCTCCATTTGCCTGAGCATCCTAATAGCTCTTCTCTGCACAGGTTCCATCTTGCATGAACATGAGTGACCAGAACGGCATACTGAATGCCAAATGAGATCCTATCAGGGCCTTGTACAAAGGTAATAACACTTCTATATCACAACTGAAAATACTTCGCCTCATGCATGCTAGGATTGCACTTGCTTGTTCCATAATCACATAACATTGGTGGCTCAGCAATCACAGGACTGTTACCAACACACTGAGTCAACAGCTTGTAGCAGAAATTTTTATTAGGCTCTAAGACCATCATCTTGCACTCCGTATCAGAGTCGGCCCAAGCTACGGGCTGACCGGGCTACCGCCCGGGATGCCCCATTCTGGGGGGCACCGCGCGGGGCTGCTGGGATGTGTGGGGCTGGGACCGCACATGTGCCACATGCCTGGGGTCCGGAGGCACCACGCACCCGGGAGACCACACATGTGCCGTACTCCCGGGGCACACAAATGGCTCGGGCGGGCCCTGCTCCATACTACTGAATTCCACTGTGGTCAAAGTTATCCAGATGTTCCTGCATAACATTCTGATCCTCTTCTGTATTGACAATCCCTCCCTACTTGGTTTCATCAGCAAATTTTATTAGCATGCCTACCCTTTGTACTAAGGTCATTAATAAAAATAAGGAATAAGAACGATCAAGACTGATACTTGAGAAACTCTACTAGTAACCACCCTCCAGTTTATTCTTCAGCACAAACCACTGCCTTCTCCCCTTTAGCCAGGTCCTTATGTATCTTACAGTTTTTGTTCTGTTCCCCACCCTCTCTATTTTAATTAATAGTTTCCATTTTGGTATCTTGTCAAATTCTTTACTGAAGTCCAAATATACTAAATCACTGCACTTCCCTTAGCTAAAAAAAATCAGCTATTTTCTCAAACAAGGAAATCAAGCTAGGATTATATGATCTTTGGTAAACCCCATCTTGCATTACATACCCTCTACCATTTAATTATCCTTTCCATCACAATTTATTCTAAAGAACTGCATATGACAGTGGTGAGACTAAAAGGTTTGCAAATGCCAAGATCTTTTTTCCTCTTTCTAAAACCTAGGCACAACATTCGCTATTCTCCAGTCATACGATTATACCTTGCTACCAGACTAGCAATCTCATGAGCCAGTTCTTTCAATACTCTTAGATGGAAATCATCCAGTCCCACTAAGGTGAATGCATTAAGCTCTTTACATTTTTCTTCCACTTCAGCTGTAGTAATATTATTTCCTAGATATTCATTTCTATCAGCTCTACTGCCTTCATGCACTGCTCCAT